ATCTACAGAAAGCCCCATTTTATTCAAATGGTAGCCTTACTTGCAGTGTGCAATCAGATAGACAGCATTTCAATGAGCCTCACAGAGGTGCTCACCCCAAAGAACCCCTTCTTCATGCTGATAGTACTGACAGCAAAGGCATCCATTGGACAAGTGCGTATATGTATCTCCTCTGAGTGATTGCCACGCAGACCAAGGAGTGTAGCTTGCTCAAAGTGGCATCCGCATTTCTTTGCTTAGCTTTTCGCCTGCAGGGCGGTGCCGCATATGTAACCAGAGGTTTTACGTCTGCATTGAAAGACCAATACGTTGGTTTGGGTGATATTCCTCAAGTTTTACCATGAAGTCTCTGCCAGGCATAAAACGCCCTTGTAGCCTTGTTGGTAATATTCGAAAGATGTGAATTCCAATTGAGCCTTTTGTTCAGAGTTATCCCTAGAAACTTTGTCCTTCTGAGAATTCAATTTCTGTCCGTTCCAAGGTGGATCTAGTCAAGTTGACTTTCCTCCTTTTGGTGAATGCGGCAATGGTGGGAGCGCAGTGGGTTTAGCTAAAATCCATTTGCAGCACACCAGTCTTCTGCTAATCTTACCGCAGCTTGCAATCTAGAGCAAATAGTGTTCTTATGCCAGCCAAGAACGTAGATGACTATGTTACCTGCAATGCCTGCTATGATAAAATGTGGTGTGTGGCCAGAAATTGCAGAGATTTAGACTTGGATTTTTTTTCAATGGCACAGGTGGAGCGCCACCGTTGCCTTTACTGAAGAGATGCTACAATGTTGAGTTTCCTGAGGCTGAGTGCTAGCTTAAGCCCAATACTGAGTCCGGGCTTACACATTGTAGAGCATTTACTGATGGCTCCAAAACTGTCGCTGGGTCGAAAGTAACGGGGACAATCCTCATTTCTCTCTTTGGATACCTGCCTTGCTCTTTGTGGCTATGATCACTTGTCCATCTGAGGCGCAAGAGGTCATCACAGGCATACCTACACTTTTCATATGTAGATATTTATTTAAAATGAGCTTATTAGAAAATTAGTGAATCTTGTCATAGCCGAATATAAACGACACAGAGAGTAGAGTATTTATGAACAAATTGTAGGTTAAGTATAATACATAATTAACACTTTTATTTCCATAAACTGAAAAACTCAAATCGTAATTAAAGCACGGAATGCAGTTTTCTTACATATGAGTTTAAAATGTAAAAAATATTCAATGTAAGATTATATTTTTATGAAAAACGTGAATATTGTGTAATTTTATGAATTTATCAAGTAAAATTCTAAATTTCCAAATATATTCAAGTATTTATTCCAAAAAATAAGGTTTGTATAGTTATAGAGACTCCAATGCCAGCCAGTGCATCCGCCCAGACCGTTCATTATGGACACCCAAGTTTGAGCGACCATTACCCGGAGCTCCTCAAAAATACTTAACATTAATGGTCCATTACCCGGAGCTGCTCCAACGTGATGAGCACATTTTAGTGAGCCTCACATGCCACTGCCTCTCGCTACAAGCTGGAAGAAATAAATAGCAATTATCTATTAAAATTATAAGAAAATTTGCCTGTGCCACTCTGCCATAGTACTGTTGTTGCCACAGTAATTTTGTAAGCAACTCTGAATCAGCAAAATTCATACTCCTTCTCATTATCAACCCTGTTCAGATTTTATCCCCGAGAAGTAATAAAAAAGGTGTATTACTGTATATACTGCATTGTGTACTTCTGATCAACGGAACAGTTGCATGTTTGATGATCGTAATGTTTTTCTGGTCATTTTAGACAACATGTTGGTGTGTACCTTTGAGAGTTGAATTAGACAGCTGATGTATCAAGCCGTCCAGAAGACACATAACGATCACTGATTTTTATTTTTTAGAAACGGTTGCGCTCAACTGCTGCGCCTTCTCAACCTACCCAATTCAAAGTCAAACTCATAGCTTTTCCACTAGTACAGTCGGTAGCAATTAGTCCACTTTAATTAGTGATTTCACTCATGAAAGGTAGCTGGTGAATTGACTAGGCCGACGTATTCTGGGAACTCATTTAATGTAATGAACAGCATTACAGGTAACCTGGTAGCTCCAGTGAATTCACTAGTTCCCCACTGGTGCGTCGTGTTCAACGTTCGCTGAGTTACCTAGTCCATTAGTTAAATTATTCTTAAATTACATAAATGTTACAATCAATTACAAAATTTCTTAAAAAGTAAAATATTTGAAATTGAGGGTATAAACATTAAAAAAAAAGATTTGTTAAGGGAAATAAGAAAAGCTCAAGAAGTTAAGAGTGAACAACTTTTAAGTAGAGGACATATACCAGAGAATTTGTAATACAACCCACTGGGAAAAGGTAATGTCTGGGAATGCAGAACGTAATGGAAGGCCTAATGGAAGTAACCTACGCACGAAAAGATGCAAAATTTCTCCACAGCGATGTTATAAGAAAGTAATGTGTCGCATATCGCTTCATAAAACTATAAATAGAATTAAAAAAAATAAATATTAAATAAAAAATAAAGTCCGTGCCACAGATTTTGAACCCGTGATTAACAACATGGCAGTCGAACACGCATCCATTCGAGCACAGCAGCTGCTGAGACAACGTGAAAAAAATACTTGAGTTAGTTTTCAAAGTTTTTGTTATGTTTTTGGCTTCAAAACTACACATCATCCGCTCGCTTACACTTTTCGAACAACGTAGGTAATGCGTATCCATTTTCACTGGGAAGTTCTGTGCTGGAAATAAAAAAAACGGTAATTTCCAAATAATTTATTCACAGCCAAGTCATGCACCACCTTCATGAATACAATTTAAATTTGGCAATGCCAAGGAAAGGAAAAACCAATACAACTTTGGCAACTAAGATAGTGATGTCAAGGGCAAAAATTAATCGATGTTTTTCCTCGCTTCGACGCATCGAAAGTTCTTAAAGCATCGATCAGAGGACAAACATCGGTGCACCGAGCCACACAGAATTTTTCCGGCGCTATGAAAATTAAACAACTGCACAACCGTTTTTTACGCATTTAGATGAGGATCCTCAGATTATCTTCTAAATAACCAAAAAGAACAGTCCAAAAGATAACATTTGTAGGAAGCAAATAATCGATATTTTCTATGCGCCGATGTTTTTTCGACATTCCTATTAAATGTTTGTCGTTTTGCGAAGGTCATTATTTAACAATTGCAAACAAAATCAAATTTGCAAATCATTTGCCGGTAGGGAAAGTTCGCGAACAACAGCACAACAAAATCGCAGTCGATTGTTATTAGCAAATAAGTGGACAACAAATTACAGCACTTCCGGCAACATGTCAAAATCAGCGCTAGTTATCCTCGCACCCGGTGCTGAGGAGATGGAATTTGTAATAGCCGCTGACGTTTTGCGGCGCGCCGGGGTAAGTGAATGGGCGCCCGTATTTATCTTTAATTCGAGCTATTTTAAAATGCATGCCACTTTTTCTTCCCCACCCCACCTTCCACATACGTATATGTGTATGTACATATGTATGTAGATTAAGGTTACCATTGCCGGTCTGCTCAGTGCGGACGCAGTAAAATGCTCGCGTGACGTTTGCATTGTACCTGACACATCGTTGGAGTTGACAAAGGGCGGCATATTCGATGCAATTGTTCTGCCTGGTGGCTTGGGTGGCGCTAAGGCTATGTCGGAGAATGCAGCTCTGGGTGCACTGCTCAAAGAACAAGAAGCTGCTGGACGTATTGTGGCAGCCATTTGCGCTGCGCCCACGGCGCTTCTGGCGCACGGTATTTGCTCTGGCAAGAGTTTAACTTCGTATCCCTCTGTAAAGGGGAAACTGGATAGTACATACAAGTAGGTGCATTAAAATAATTTTTCTTTTTTTTTTGAAAAAGTATTTAAATTTTTAATTTATTCCACAGATATGTTGATGATGAGAAAGTGGTACAGGATGGCAACCTGATCACCAGTCGTGGTCCTGGCACTGCATTTGATTTCGGTTTAAAACTCGCCGAGGTTCTGGCAGGTGCTGATAAAGCTAAAGAAGTAGCCAAAGGAATGCTCTTGGCGTAGAGCGTGCACAACAATGCGCGATAAAATCTTTATTTCGATAACGACAGACAGAATGAATTTAGTTATAGCGATGATACGAATACAATTCGGACAAAATTTTTAATAAATACCTTTTTGAAGCTGTTACACTCTTTGGACAGTGAACATACTTCTGAAATCAAATGAAGTACCACAAAATAATACTCAGTCTTTGTTAAATGTTCAGGTTCATGTCCAACATCATTTTCCACTAAAGCTTCAACTTTGAACAAACGTGTGCCAAGTGTCTTTAGCCTCGTTCTTTCAAAGGTCGGATACTGACGGAGAAAATGTTCAACTATCTCCTTCGATGCCGAATCTGTGTGGCTGCGGAAGAAACTATTGAAAAGAGAGAAGATTTCTAGACATGGGGATTTCTTATGCTGTTACGAAAACCACAATCACTTACAGCTTCACCTCTGCTTAACTTTCGATTGATACCATTTCGATAATCCTGCTTTTGTACTCCCTGAGCGAAAACCCCGTACCACGCGTGAGACACATTTTATGCAGAGCTGCGACCCGCTAGTCCATCCGCTGTATCGTTGTATCGAATTTGGTAAGAGTCCAGAATTGCCGTCAGGCTACCTGTGAAAATGTTCATCTGCGTTCTCGCCTTGGAAACGCTTGCGCGCATAGTCAGTTTTCTATGACTGGCCACCACAGCACGGCTCCATACATGAATACTGGTGGCATTATAGCCGTGTACTTCTAATACACAATCCTTTGCTGAAATACCTATAAGTTGCCTGATATTATTTTGGCTGCATAGAGGGCCACCGAGGCCTTCCTTTTTCGCTGCTCAACAATCAGCCTCCAGTTAAACCTGGGATGCAGAACAATTCCATTATCAGGTCAGGTCAGGTCTACGAATTCACACTAAGAGAACAATTGATGTCTTAGTAATCTCGCTTTACTTTTAGGGCGGTCTTCGATCTGGCCCCACGTTCTCACGACAATCTGTCCTACAAAACATAGAATCATTACCCTAAGACCTTTGGGGAATTTTTATGCAGTAAAAACAACAATTTAGCCTCACTAGCGCCTGTATATAGAATCATCTAGGTAGGCAGGTTGAGATAAATTGGCCGTTTTTCCTAGTATGCTCGTCTAAGAGCCTGACAAATGGTTTTAGTTCGATAGGAATTCGACTTAGTCGCCAAATAAAGTTCCTTTAATCTTCCCCAGCTTAGCGCGGCACGATACAGTATTACGCATCCTCTAAAAAATAATGCTCGCATCCGAAGTTTCCTGGAACTTTATATGTGTTTTTGCTGTAACGGAACAAAGGGCAACGATAGAGTAGGTTTGAGGGGGAAAGTCAAGATATGGTTGGTGTCTTGGGGGGTGCCTTCACAAGGCGGACATACTTTGAGTGACGTGCTCTGCTTCCGATAAGTGTATATTCTCTCCGCGATGGGATGCATTGAGGTCCATAAGCCAGTATGCTCACAGGTCTGTTACATCAACCGCGTCTTGTTGATGAAACCGTGGAGGGATACCAAGTTGTCAAAGGTAACCTCTAAAATTTTCGTCGGCAAGAAGAAAAGTCTAGGTAAAGAAGGTCTCTCGGAGAGATGCCGTTTAATTTCAAGCATGAGAAGGGTGGAAACGGTAGAAGTTAAATTATATTTGGCTTCAAAATTTGATCTCGAAAGAGTACTTACAACTGTCGATTTTTCAGTTACCTCGCCGTCCGCCGATTCAGTCCCTCTAGGAGAGATGATGCTCTCTAGTGAAGTGTATTAGTGAATGGTATTGAGGGCCCTCGAAAAGTTCAAATTTACCAAAAAAAATCTCACAGAGTTGGTTTTAGTTAAGGTCACGAGTTACAGTTACCTGAGTATCTTTGCTGGGCACTTTACCTATGCTATTTTGATGTGTAGCAGTGATAAGCCTGAAGTTTCTTCACTACTAGGGAAGTAAGAGTTATCAGGTTATATAGAGTAGTTCAAGGTCGATGCAGATCTTACAGCAATTATTTGTGATATATATTTTTCAGACAGACTTTGGCGGACTTAGTCATGGAGCGATACTCAGTTGAACAACGCGTAAACGTAATCTAAACTTTTTATTGAAATGTCCGTTCTGCAAAAAGCGCATTTCACGAAGGTATTTCAAGAAAAAAAAATATGCATCCACAATGAGTCACTGTTTGTTGTGGTGTTTTTGGACTGATCAAACCGTCCTCATTTAAAAATGATGTCGGTAACACTGTCACGGAGAACGGTGACCGTTATCGTGATATAATAAACTTTTTATGACCTAAATTGGACGTCATGAACTTGCGACAATATGTGGCACTTGACACACAGTACATGAAACAGTTGTATTACCACGCGAAACAACGAGGATAAATGGCCGTCGAAATCTAGCGATTTGACAACGTTGAACTTATTTCTCTGGAACTACATACGTGCAAAGTATGATCTACGCCTATATGTCTGAGACGATTCCAGAGCTGAAGAAGGAAATCATACGCATTATAAATGCATTCTACATGTCGTAAGCGTCATACGTACGTACGTAACATACGACAATCTTTCACCCAGGCGACGATATGTTGCCAGCGAAGTGGTGGTGGACATTTAAATGAATTGTGTTTCATACATAGTATGTAAACACATGATGAAATAAAGAAAATCATTTCGACAAATTTTGTTGTTTTATTAATAAAAGAAAATCTGCGGTCATATTGCACTCTCTTTTAATGGTTAGTTTCCCGGGTTTTAGCAGTGGGATCACTATCCCACACTTCCACTTGTCAGGAATGATGAAGGTGCAGTATTCTGAGGAGCCAAGTTTTTTAGCATAAACCATCATAGTTCATCACGGCCAATGACTTGGGGGGCTTTTGCCTTCCTTATGGCCACCTAAACTTCGTCTCTGGTGAAAGTAAGAGACGTTCTAGACTGAAGAATGTTGTAAAGTCGTGTGACTATGATTTCCACCATGTCAACGTGCTTCGCTGTGTTAGGCAGGGCAATCAGCCCTATCGCCAATACCATGCGAATAAATTGTTCCCATAATTTAACTTTCAAAACAAAAACAAATTGGGAAAACATTTTTTTGTTTTGCTTTATAGTTATTGGGAATATTTGTTTAGGAATATTGGGCCTAATATTTTTTCTCTTATCAGATAGGTGTAATGTAGTGTTTAGAGCAACGGTCTTGAGTTCATCCTCGTTCCCTACACGCTGGAAAGTATGTATTGCTCCAATATCTTCGTACAATAAATGAGGGAAACAATTTTTAATTTTTGTCTGCTTTATTACAATTTTTATTTGCATTTTATTTTGTATTTTATTACGCTTCCACTTTTTTTTTGTTAATTTGTCGGTTGTTAGTTTCAATTTTATATTTACGTTTTGTTGCTGTTGTTTTAGTTATTTTTACTTTTATTTATTTTGTTGTATAATATATTTTAATAATCATAATTATCTTATATGTATGTAAATAAAGTATATATATTTTTTTCATACATATAATTATATTTATGTATGTATGTATATTAGAAATATGTATAAATTAATATGCAGTTAATTTATTATGTATTGTATATGTATGTATGTATGTATATTTTCTGCATTTGCTTTTATTACGTTTCTTGTTCGCCTTTTAATTATTTTTGCATACTACAAATTCCAAATGTTTGACATTGTTACAGCGGCTTAGCGGTTATTTACGTTCTTCGAAGCTTCCTTCCCTATGAAAAATTAGCGTTTTTATAAAATTCTTTGAATTATTGAATTAGTTATTTATTAATTTGTTTAAGTGTCTACATATTAATGCATTTATTTATTTCTATATTTTTATTAAAAAATTTCGATTATACTTTTTTTGTATATTTTTACATGTAACTTAAAATAAGTTTCTATTGAAAAACCTAAAACAATTAAAACTTACTAAACTAGGCGGCGCGCAGTATGGAAAATCAACTTTTTTGTCACAAAATCGAATGTCTTGAGAGCGAGAACAAATAGCGAAATAAGGGCCACTTTCACAGTCATTAGTTAACTGCTATGCTAATGTTAAACCAACATATTTCATTTCACAGTATCAGTTTGACTAATGTCTGACCGCCGTTAACTTATGTACATCCATAAGTTAACTAATAGTTAAAAACAGCTGTTTTTATAGTAGTTAACTAATTACTGGGAAAATAGCCCTAAAAGTAACTACATTTTAAAGCTTTTGAGTTGATGAATTCAGGAAAAAAAGTTAACTGACGTTTAAAGTTCGCTTCAAATCTATTTTTTCAACCGTCAGAACCAAAACCACATTGATTATTTTTTTTTTAATTCATGTAGGATTTATGCCAAAAACGATAATAAATTCCAAAATTTTACTTTTGAAGGTCGGTTTTAAGGTCAAAGTAATTTTTTATTCAATCAGACCTTAAAAATGGCCTGCAAAAAGAAATTGTTTTTATTTTTTTTATTTTTCACATAAAAACAGCTTTTAATGAACTTTTAAATAAAAAATTTATTCCTTGACGCAAGAACAACAGCAAAAATATTGGTTTGTAACTTTTTAAAAACTTCATTGCATACTGTTTTCAGGTAAAAAAAAGAAGAAAAGTTAAAACCAACTTTTGAAGGCAATTTTAAAGATCGGGGTAACTTTTCATCCAACGATTTTTTTTTCCTGAATTATACATCTTAAAAGCTTTAAAATACCGTTACATATATTACGCTATTTGTTTTCGTTCTCGATATATTAGATTTTGTTATAAAAAAAATTACTTTCCACACTAGCTGCCGGTTTCACCAGCAATTTAAATGGAAAATGATTTTTTATTTTGTCAATTTCCATATAAAATTAAAAAAATTAAAATCATTTTTCACTTAAATTGCTTTCGTGAAATTGGCTGTAAGCGACGCTTACTTAATTTGGTGTGTAAATCGCTTGGGAGATACATATCTTTATGTGTATGTATTTGTGTATTTAGTTCTCGTTGTAGTGGCGTGGAGTTACGAGTGAAAAGAGTAAGAGATTGGATTGTTGTGGTATAAGAAAAATGTTTAGGTCGATGTGTTTTGTATTTATGCCTTTTCTTGGTTTTCATTAGATATATATTTTTTTTGTTAACTGTAAGGTGAGTAGGATTCAACTTAGTGAGCTATGCAGGCGATTGGAAAAATCTTCAAGGGTCAGAACTCAGCTCTCGGTAGGGCTACTGGCTGTCATCTCAAAGCGTCTGAGCAGACATCCCCTCCACGACAAACTCCTAGTGTAGCCTACTATCGAAGCAGTTCATCGTGAAATGTCATCGAGAGAACCACCGAACAACGCATTGCTTCAAAATTATCCAATCACCCTTTCCAAGCTTTCTCTGATAGTCTCTGAATTATACATATCTTATTTAACCCGCCAGTAGCGCCCTCCTTCGTCCTAAAGTAATATCTCTCTTTGATGCTGACCCTAACTGATTGATCGCTGAACGTTGGTCCGTTGAGGTGGGTGCCTAAGCTGAGCGTGTTTTCGATTTTTTTTTTTTTGGAATGGGGCTAGATTCAAAAAATCGCCATGCTAAATTTTCATCTTCAATCTTCACTAAATACAAAGCAAGGGCGCCAAAAGGCTTACGGCTTGAAATTACTTGTCTCTCATACTGCGAGAACGTGTTGATTTTCCATTGCATTTTTTTTTTTCCTTATGTGAGTAGTGAAATTAAGTATCCCATTGCAGGTGAAGCGGAACGGAATTTCCTCTTAAGAAACTTTGCATTCCTAAAAGTTTTGAAAATTCATTACTAATACACTAAGCCGTTTCTTTCCTACTCACTTTTCAGCTTGAGACTTCCAACTTTTTTTTTTTTTTGTTTGTGTTGATGTTTTACTATTTAGTTGAATTTTCTTACTAAAATACATTTTTATACTTTAAAGCATTCCATTGAATTTAAGAAGTATTATTTTTGAAAAATATAGTATACAATTGTGTTCGATTCTCGAAAATTTTCAATTTTTTTTAATTTATCGCATTATTCACCTAAAAATTAAAGCATTTTTTTTTTTATTTTGTAGTTTCTTTATAGTATAAATCTACAAATTTAGCGCGTTTTGGTACCTTCCAACTATTATCTACTTTTTCTCTCTTTACGCTTAGCGTAATATTCAAATAATTTTTTTATCCTGAATAACTTATGCCAAAAGGTTATTATACACTTTATTTGAAATGTATCTTATGCCAAATTTTTTTTTCTCATTTTTGTTTTTGGATGCATCTTTAGCCGAAAATTTTGAATTTATTTTGTTAATTCTTTTTTTAACTTTATGCCATCGTTTTTACGCTGCGCTGTTTGCTGTTTTAGTCAGCATTAAATTTAGGTTTTTTTAAATTAAATTAATATTATTGATATAAATTTTCATTATAATTTATTCTTCAATAGTTTGACATTAAATTTAAGCCGAATTACTTGTGAATCTCTCTTAATGCTTTCTCTAAATTAAAGTTAGTATTTGATTTTGTTGAATTTACGTCTTTAGTTTTCTAACAAAATCCGCATCCATTTTTCTTTTTCTGCATACAAATCAGTTTATTTATACGTATGTATGTATGTACATATATTTTAAATATTTTATTGCATGTATAAAAATATCAAAAGAGTTGCTTCTTATTTAAGTTCGTCATTGTTTTTTTTTATAATTTTCGCTTTCTTGTCGACATTTATTTTTTGTTAAATTTTTATTTACTTTTATATTTTTCTGTTTTCAATATTTGCTGGAACTGTTTTCGGATGAAGACTGTACGTTGTATACTATGTAGGTGCTTCAAACTTCAATTTCTCCTACGGCTCCTGCGATTTGTAATGTTTCAGGTTATTTCTTTATTTATATAAAATATTTATTAACCAAATTGTACAAAAGTTTTCTTTTTTGAACACCAGTTTATTTAAGGAAATGCAAATCTGTAAAACTTAATTACCTTTTTTGCATGCAATTTTGTGTCTTGTAAAAAATGTGGCTAAATTTTGCGTTACAAAAAGTTCCTGTTTATTTTAGCAAAACATTTTGTGTTTACAGTAAATTTTCCTACATTTTGTGCATTTTGAGATATATACTATAATGTACATGTTTTGGTTTAAAATTAAAAAAAAATAAAAATTATACGAAAAAAATTAAAAAGTACAAATTCGACACCTTCGATAAAAAGGTTTTTTTTTAATAAATAAAATTTATGTAATAAAAAAGGAATAAAAATTTTAAAAAATTCAAAAGTACCATTATTTCACTTTTAAATATAAAAAAATTAAAGGGAATAAAACTTTTGTTGTTAAGAAACTTGAAGAAAAAGATTTAAAATTACGATTATTTAATTTAATTTGTTTGGTTTTCGAAGTTAGATAAATTACAGTTTGGTATTGTTAAAAAGGTTAAGCAAAAATTTTTAAACTCTTTTATTTTGAAAATTTCGTATTCATGCTTTTTTAAAACAACAAAAATATATGTACATTTAAGCGCGTATTGAATTTTTATTCATTCATTGTTCATTTCAAAATTTATATGTTCGCAATTTTCCAAATCGCTAATTCGTAAAAATTTCGCTATTTTTTACATTTCCGAAAATCTAAAAAATGGCTTTTACAGAAGCAGAAAGACCCGAATACAAAATTAAAGTTTTTTAAGCCAATTTTTCAAAATTGTAATTTTTTATGTTTATTTTTAAGCATCAAGTCAAAAGAAAATACAAAAATTTTATTAAAAAAAATGTATAAAAAAGTAACTGTGCAAAAAATTACGACTTTAGTCTATCTTTATGAGCCATTTCATTTTAAATAAATGAAAATATTCCAAATTTTGCTAAGCGCGTCAGTAAAAGCAATTAAATGTGAGCGTATTTTCGAAAACTCCTTATTTCTGATATTAAATTGGCAAAATAAATACACTGCAAAAAAAGTTTTAGCTTCAATCTTTCTCGCTTTTTGAGTAAATTGGCGAAGTACAGTGCCCGCCTTTTAAGTGGGCATGAGAAACTGCCCAATTTTTTCTTAATTATCCGAAATATAAAATCACTAAAAACTCGGAGTCTACTCAATGGAAAAGCTTGTTAAAAGTTATTGATTAAAATAAGCGGGGGGAACGATTTAAGTGAGGATCAATCATCCGGAGGATACAGTACTACCTATGCTTGCCACTTATTGACTTTTCAAACACTAGAAGTTGGTCGATATCTCCGGCGAAAACAAACTTATACAACACATCTATGAGGCAGTATATATATAACAAACCCAAATTAAAAAATGATTTAAAAATTTATTTTAAAATAAGTTTTTAAAAACTTAAATTTCAATGTATGAAAATATAATAAAATTTATAAGTGACCAAAACTAATTCAAGTTCGAACTGTATGCTGTAAATAATATTGATGTCTACAGAAACGAAAAATTAACTATACCAATCCCTTAAACAAAACAAAATTGGAAAAATTTAAAACAGAAAATTATTTCATACAGCTTTTGCCAGTTTTTCAAGCCTTCTAATTTTTATTTGAAAATTTGGACGTTATCTTAAAATAAATTTTTTGAAATTTCTTAAAGTTCAAAATTTTTTTTCTTATTCAAAAAGTTTAGTTTTTTATCGAAAAATTCAAGTATAATTTATATTCAAGCTCAAAATTTACGTTTAACTGTATAGATATATTACATATATAGAAAGTTTCGAAAATTATTTGGGTTTCAATACTTCCTACGTTCCAATTTTTAATTGAATATTTAGATTTTTTTTAATTCAAATTTGTTTTATATTTTCAAAAACTAGAAAATGTTTGAAAAATTCGTTTATTTTCAAACGAATTATTTGACGTAAACTGCATTTAATACGTTTCGAAGATGTTTCGGTGCAAAAGGAGCATTTTCGAACACTTCACAAAGTTTTGCCCAAATAGCAGACAAGTCGTACTTGGCAATTTATCAAATCGTAATTTCAACGTGCGAAACCAAAAGCAATTTCCGAAAAAAATAATAAAATTAGGAAAAGCAGGCGTTGTTGAATTTTTATTAGTTTGGAAGTTTTTTTTATATACGATTTTTTTATGTGTTAAAACGCACGCTCCTTTTAGTTTAAATTTAATATTAGAGCAAAATGATATTTTTTCAGTTTAAGAAAGCCATTAGAAAATTACACTGGAAAAAAATTGGCGGTTATAATAATTGACATAACTAACAAATGACGCAATTCCTTTTTGTTCCACTAAACCAGTTTTTACAGTGGTTTAAATTTNAGCAAAATGATATTTTTTCAGTTTAAGAAAGCCATTAGAAAATTACACTGCAAAAAAAATTGGCGGTTATAATAATTGACATAACTAACAAATGACGCAATTCCTTTTTGTTCCACTAAACCAGTTTTTACAGTGGTTTAAATTGTGAATTGTTTGATAAAAAAATCGTATTGTGATTCTTGTCTTCGGCTTTCTAAGAAAAATTGTCCGACGAATATTTTACGGGAATGTTTTAACCCTCTAACTCGTAGCAGCATTTGCCATTTAGGGTCATTCTTGAAAAACGCGCTAAATGTTAAAACTTTAAGCCTGGTTTTTCTTACCATATTTTTTATTCAAATATGAACAAAAAATTAATTTTTCTATCGATAAAGTTTAAAAATTTTGTTTAGGGTTCCTTCCACAGTGACTAATTCGGCGGTTAACTTAAATCTTTTTTTACAGAAAATCGGTAGTTAACTGCCGCACGGGCAATACATTGCTAGAAATTGACAGCGGGTGTGATTGAAACTCGAACAAGCCCTAATTTTAACTCAGAACACATTTTCTTTGCTGATTTTTTTAGCAACACGCTACTCTTAAGCTGGGACGTCGTAGCAGGTATTGCAATAGCCCCATACGTACATATAGTATATACATCTGTGTCAAATTCTGAACAAAATATTTAACATATTGAAAGGTTCGTAGAAATATTGCTGAAAGAGTGACTGAAACAAGAGACTCGTGCTACAAAACTAAAGGGTCGATTACGAATCGCAAACGAACTTCATCTGCTTGCCAATGGCTGGTATGGTATTACGGATGGCAACTAGCAAATGAAAGCTGGAACTGAGTGGCTATATTGACAGTTGCATTTTTTTTTTTGAGCCGGGGAAATTTTTATTGAGAAAGCTTCTATTATCTCCAACTCCACAGCATTACATTTCAGTGGCGTTCCAGTTCAACTATGGACCATAATCGACTAAAAAAATTTATTGGTTTATAAATTTAAAAAAAAAACATCATGCTGTCACAACTGTTGTCATTGAGTGACCAAATTTTTAATTAGAATTTCGTGTAGACTGGACACAAATTCGGCAATAGGGAAAAAGTGTGTAAGGTGTCACTACTAAAACAAAGGAGAAAAGAGAACGCAAAACAACAAACAGAAGACTAACGGACATTTACAACTTTGTACACTTAAACATTTACAATGTTTTTTCGAGTTTTTTTTTTCACTTTTTATTATAGCATTTTTCTCAAACAAAATACACAATTTAGAACCTATTAACTTTACTTTTTGATATTTATATGTATTTATGTGGTATGTAGGTATGTTATTATTTAAATTATAATTTTTTTCGCTGTTTTTTGTACATCATTTTTACTAAAGTGGTTTTGTATTTTTTTTTTTTGTTTATTTTGTTACTGTATAAATGTATTGTATGTATTTTAACTTACTGTAGCACTTTAAAGTTTGCTTTATTTTAGGTTACAAAGTTTCATAATAAATTTTCAAATATTTTAATGCATGAATTTCTATTGACTGCGGCTGTATATATTTCACATTCATAACTGCTTATAACTGTAACTATATATGTATGTATTTTGTGTTGTGAATTCACGAAAGTCTTAAATATTTAAGTATATACTAACGGAACATGTAAATGTCGGAAACACACACAAAAAAAGAAAGAGGTTGATTTTAAAGCGCACAGCACAGTACCATTAAACATAAAATGAATTTGAAACGAAATTGTTTACAAGCAAGTTTTTACACAAAAAAATCTATATGAAAACTAAAAAAAAAACGCGCATAAAGTTTCAAGCTTTTTGTTTGTTTTGTTTTTGTTGTACATTAGTTGCATCATTAACAGAAATTAGAGCAGTAAAGCAGAAAAAAGAGACTTTAAATTAACTAATTTTATTTCCTTTTTTATTTATAATATATAGTAATTTGTTTATGACTGACTTTAACCATTTCGCAGTTATTATTTCTTTTTTTTTAATTTTCATATTTATGTATGTAATTGTAGTACTTATTATGTTTTCGTAATGTTTTCTGTTGTTGCCTTTGTTTATGCTTGATTTTTGTTTTTTGCTTTTCATTTTAATATTATTGTAATTGCAATTGTAACTGTAGTGTAAAAAATAAATTACGTTTATTTAGTTTATTTCTTGCCATTTTCTCAATTATTTTTAGTTAATAGTAGTTGTTGTAGGTTGCAATATGTACTAAATATAATTGGTAGTTGTAGCAGTAAATGTTGCTCTTCACTAAATGTATGTATTTATTTTTTTATTTGTATATGTATTTATATGTATCTATTTTAGCAGTTTTAACTTTTATTAACTTTAATTATTATTACTTTAATTTTCTTTTAAATATATTTTTGTTTATGCTGCAAAACATGTTGCTGCTGCTGCTGCGCTGTTGTTGTTGTTTTTGCTGCTGCTGCTGCTAAAGAGGCGGCTTAACGCGCCCATACGTCCACTACTGCCATCGCTGTGCTGCTGCTCTGCTGTTGTGTAGTTGTTCACTCGGCTGTCGCAGCAACTAAGGCTCCCGCTGATTGAGTTTCACACTGAATAGCTGCAGTCACCGCCGGTGCTTGGGACACAAATCACTGTGCTTATATCTAAACAACTAACTTCTACGCCGCCTCATCTACCAAGTTGTGGTTTATAATCGCTTACCGCAGCAGCGAAGGCAGCAGCCGTGCCGTGCCGCTTAACATGCCGCAAGCGTGAGATGCGAGCCAGACGTAGTAAGCTGCAGCCTATGGAATCTTAACAGTTTTGCATGCAACACTAAAAATATATAGCTGTTAATAAATTGCAGTTGTGCAGCAGCATGCAAGCGTTGTGTGCGCTGTTGTGGTGACTGTGGCTGCCACATTTTGAATATTTGCAGTTTGCGTTGGGAATGCGGCTGCGGCTGCGGCTGCGGCGACTTCTGCTGCTGCTTTAGTTTATTGTGTTGTTTTTGTTGCTTTTTCAGTTGTTGTGAATGTTGTTGTTGTTGCCGTTTATCACAATAACAATGACAATGTTGCTGATGACGATGATGGCAGTAATGATCATAAGGACGATCTATTGTATATTGGTGACGACGCAGCCATTGGCAACGACGTCACTCGCATTTTATTCGATTCTATTGCATCGATGCAAGACCAGCCGAGCTGCTGATGTGCGATGAATTACCTAATGTGGATGCCATATCCTGGTAGCTGAACTGTTAATAAATAAATAAATAAATAAATAAATAAAAACAAAAATATTAATGCCTAGTATTTATCAGTGCAATCACTGAAAAACGAAGTGATGTGGGATAATTACAGATAATGCAGGTTTATGAAATTGATATGAAATCCATTCATCTTTTTAGAATAAAACACATTTAACGTTTTTTTCTAGAAATTGTTAAAAAAAATCGCCTTCCTACATGCCGACATTTTTATATATTCCAGTCTTTTGTTAATTTTTTTCTCGGATTTTGTTGATTTAATTTTCCATATATATATATATATTTTTTTTATTATATTTTTTTTTTATTTTTTTTTTTGTTGTTCGAATTTTTTAAACATACCTTTCGTTTTTTATATCTTGGAATTTTTTATCTTAGAAATTTAAAAAAAATTTCAAAAATTTATTTTAAAGTAATTTTTTTTTTAATTAATGTTTTATTTTTAACCTTTTTCATTTCATTTAAAAATTTTTTTGTTTAATATCAAATATTTTATTTTCGATTTTTTCTTCTATAACAGAAAACACATAAATAAAAGTTTCAAAGCTTGCACAAATTTTACAAAAATTAATCCCAACATTTTATTTTGCATTAAATTAAACTCACCTGCGGGAAAAGTGGCTCTTCTGCTATCGAACCTAATGTGCCAGCAGGATCTGGCGGCGTCAATTCCACACTTTCACCGGTAAACTCTGTATCGAAATAGCGTGTATCTGTGTCGGATACCACTTGTGGCTTAAAAGGCGGCGTTATCTAAAAAAAATATTGCGAAAAAATTCGATATTTGAAAAAAAAAAACTAAAATAAAAAAATTAGGCAAATATCAATTATGTACCCTCTTATTCACTAAATCCGTCCAATTAATACTCGCAAAGAAAGGATGCGCTTGTATTTCTTTGACATCATCCTGGCCACCACCAAGACGCTGGCGTGGATCCTTAGCCAATAGGCCGGCAAGTAAACTGCGCGCCTCATCCGATATTGTGCGAGGGAATCTCACCTCCTCCATTAAGATAAGTGTGAATAGTACATCATGATCTTGATTAAAGAAAGGAAGACGTCCACATATCTGTTGCATAAAAATAAAAATTTATTTAAACAAATTATTAAAATTATCAAACAAAAAAAAAGAAGCTACAAACCATCTCATACATGACGACACCAGTACCCCACCAATCGACCGCATGCCCATAATCGTTGTCCTCTAATACTTCAGGCGCCAGATATTCGGGCGTACCGCAGAACGTCTTCGTAGTACGGCCATAGGTGATATCCTCTTTACACAGCCCAAAGTCGGCAATCTTAATGTGACCATCTTTGTCCAACAATAGATTTTCCAATTTTAAATCACGATATATAATGCCCTGAGAGTGTAGGTAGCCCAAAGCAGAAATTATTTCGGCACCATAAAATCGCGTACGATCCTCGGTGAAGAGGCGTTCACGGCTCAGGTGAAAGAAGAGTTCACCGCCATTCACGTATTGCATCACAAAGCAGAGACGATCGTTGGTTTGAAATGAATATTTAAGCGACTGGAAAGAAATTTAAGAGGTTTGCATTTTACGCAAAGTTATTTTAAACAGCTTAAGACATTTTAAAAAGCATTCAGCATACTTACAATTAGGAAAGGGTGATTCGTAGTTTGTAGCACACGACTTTCTGTGATTGTGTGCGCGATTTCATCCTTTTGTATGATTACCTCCTTTTTGAGAATTTTAATTGCGTACAGCTTTGCGGTGGCCTTTTCACGACACAGAATCACTTTGCCGAAAGTGCCTTTGCCCAAAACTTTTAAGAACTCGAAATTTTCAAGTGTCTGTAACGACGAAAAAAATCAAATTACAATGGACGGTATAAGTTGTTTGAAAAAGTTTCTACTTTATGTGTTTTAAAATGAAACTTGGCAATTTTTAAATGGTAGATAAATATTTAGTTTTAGCAATAACTCTTTTGTATTGGCTGAATTGCGGTTCTCAACTGGCGAAAATAAAAAATAGTTTATTAGCATTCGAATACTGAATATTTGGATCGATTATATACATTTAATATTCTTTTTACAATACTTACGACTTTCTTAACGCCACCACTGTTGCGCTTCGTTGTGCCCTGCACGGAAAAACTATTACGTAGTTCCACTTCGGCAATAGATGCCATATCCACGTCAGACATGTCTGTTGAAGTCGATGGTGACATGGCCGTTTCGCCCAATTCACTCAAGCGACTCGCGACGTTTCTGTAAAGAACAAGAAATAGAAGATAATGATAATATACACATGTACATAGATATGGCGTATAAGTAACTTTATTTTCTGCTCATTTTTCATACAACAAAATCTTTGCGTATTTTCATTTCATCACTCATTATTTATAAATCGATTTTCTTCACTGATAACTTGAAATTTTTTGTAACAGAACAGGCTTTAGCACAAATGCAAAAATTTTCGAACAGAACCTGTAATTTTCTAAATTTTTCTTCTATTAAAGTTTGATTTATATAGGAATTGGATAGTAGCATCCATTGAACATTTTTGCCGTAAACCAGTGTTATTTAAAAAATTCAAGGCAATGTAGAAAGAGAAAATTCTGTGGATTAAAAAAAAAAAAATAAAAAAAAAATTTGGTTTACGAGGACGAATGGGTATTAAAAATGCCCTTTTAATTAATTTTAATTTTTTAAGCCTATAAAGTTAGAAGGGCGAAATTCGAGGATGTGTGGAGTGTATATTATTAGTCTTTAACATCTACAGTCTCAATACTGACTTATCCTTAAGACAAAAAAATTTAACCTGCCTTAGTTCTATAGATTTTCTTTTTAATTTGATGTTCCCACGGCTTTTTTACATTGCACTGAGTTTTTTAAATAATTTTTTGTAATAATCATATTTTGCAAATATCAAAGTCCTTAAAAAAACCCTGAAGAAAAACTAATAACGCAGTCTTCCCATATTTGGCCAATAGTTGCGCTAATATATTGGTTCATTTGTTTTTTTTTTTGCTTTTTTTTTTTTTGTAATAAAAAATTAGCACGAAGTGCTTTAAATATGTAGCAAAATGCATTTTGCGGGAACTTCATTGAAAATAGGGGAATTTTTTCAGGAGTTTCGGGTAATTAGCCCTAAGAGAGTTGGCATCCCTGGCTGAGAATCAAAACAAAGAGAAATGTTAATTGGTGACACGCTGAGCAATCGCGTCTAAGTTTCTAGGTAAGGCAAGTCAAGTATAGGTCTTGCATAACCCAGCTTTAAGGGTCCAACTTAAGTTATAGCAAACAAATAATTACAGAGTTGCCACCTGTTTGAAAATTGCAGTTTAAGTAAATTGATAAGACAAAGTAAATATTGCAATATGGCTGTCAGAAGAAACGAAGGCTTACATCCGAAAATATTTTTATGGAAGGTTGTCACCTGTATGAAAATTTTTATTTGATTTAATTGATCCAATAAATTAAATACTGAAATGGGTATCAAACTTAAAATATTTAAGAATAGGGCTGCCAGCTACTTGAAAAATTTTATTCAATTTAAAATGGATGAAATAAATGAAATATTACAATACGGGTATCATACTAAAGAAGATTAAGATTATTCAGTTATATTGATAAGATATGATAAATACTGAATTAATAAAGCTTTGAAGAAAGTGCATAATATTTAGAATCGAGTTATAAATAAAATTTCAAGGATTAAATACATTCGAAAATATACAAAAATACTTTTAAGGCGCAGTGAAGCAATCGGGTATTGCTAGTTTTATAATAATTTTGTTTAGCTAACGGTGTTACGCATTTTCGTCCATATAAAGTTTTAAAATTTTTTTATATGAAAAAAAATCCTAACACCTTTAGCAAGAAAATAAACAAAAATCTGAGGAATTTTTTAGCACTTTAATATACTAATGGCCCTATTCATAAAAAATAAAATACATTTATAGAGCTCTATAAAGTGAAATTTTCAAACAAATTTTCGATTTATAAAACAGTTAAAGTCTTCTTTATTTTTTATGAATTTGGGTGTAAAATTTAATTGGCTCTAAAACTGCAAATAAATTTTTTTTCTAAAAATTCTGATTAAAAAGTTTGAAACTTGTATGAAACTGGGCTTAATCGAATAACTTTCATATGGGTTATAAACTTGATACTTGAACTGATTTTATTGTTCGCTTGGATAGGGAACCAGTTTTTAGTTTTATGGAATGTTGGGCTGTTTTTCCTTTGATGATTGCGAATGTATGAATCTACTATTTGGCCCTAAGTGTTTTAAAAAAATGCGTACAGCCCGGTTCATTTGAATAGGAACACATATTTTCCTCAAGACCCAAGCTTATATCTGGACTTGTGGCCATCAGAGAAGCTTCTTTTTGATCTCGTTTTGAAGAATGATTAATTTTGATTTTATTCCACTTTTTTTTTGTCAAACTGCACGGAAATTATGCTTATTATTTTGATTCACTTGAACAAGTACAAGAATGCGTAATTAGTCCTATAACTGAGCAAGAATGGGCTAAGCAGGAAATTGGAGCCATAGCACAAAAGCTAGATGGAAATAAGCATCTTATTGTCGAGATAGTGGACCAAAATGAAAGAAAAACGTTGGTGTTGCTAACACCACAAGGAAATTACGAATGACTCTATACACTTGTGTTCATAGAATATCAAAAAAGGGCATAAATTTTACTATACGACCTTAAGAATCATGACGAATTTAATAATTATTGTCGCGATTTCTGAAAGGACGAACGTTGTTTGTTTTACCCTCCATGATCAAGAAGAGAGTATGGCGGTATATGCTGCGATTTCGTAGTCCAGCACAGTTAAGATACTATTTCAAGTTTCAAAAATTACGAATAATATATGCAAAACAAGCAATAAGAAACTTTTTTTATTAACATTTGTTACATATTTTCGCACCTTGTTCTTGAATATGCAGGCAAAATTACGCACTACAGGAGTGTTGTTTTCAGATTTCGTCCTATTCACAGGACCTAAACATAATGGAAAATATTTGGAATTGGATGTTTTGTAAAGTTTTCGTGTCAAGCAATCCATGTGATGGATGATTAAGCAGCGAGATGTTCTCGAATATTCAACGCGCCTCTAGAATTGTCTTCCGGATAGCTGTTTTTCCATACATTGGCATTAAGGATGTAGTATACAATACTAAAAGTGTTGTATAGTCGAATTAAAACGAATGGTATGCTTTTATTGATTCAATCTAGTTCTTTCCTTGTGTTAAAGCCTCTGTATTTATACAAGAGTAAACAAAATAATAAGCATCATTTTCGTGTAGTTTGATAAAAAGTGGAATAAAATCCAAAGTAATCGAGGTGTTTTCTTTATTTTCACTACTTTTCTTCAATATTAATCATTCTTCAAAACAAGATCAAAAATAAACTTCTCTGATGCCCACAAGTCCAGATATAACCTATTCAGGTGATTCGGGCTTAGCTAGCTAAATAAGAGTATGTATGTATGTATGTTAATAATAGAAAATTTATATGTAAACACATATGTACATACATATGTACATACATACAAACATATGTAGGTGGTTATTCTCTCACCTGATAGCATCGGTCCACTGTTGCCTTTCGATCTCTTTTTCCACACAAAATGTTCGCTCGATAACGTTCGTCCATTGCAGGCCGCGTATAATAAATGTGAATGGTTTTGGACGATCGACTGTCATAATTTGACAGCCGCGTACTGTGAAATTATTCAATGGATCAGCGGGTGCATTATTCACCGGCGGGCTTTTATAGCCCATCAAAGTGCCATCGTCGCGCAATATGAAATAACGTGAACGCCAGGTTTTTATGTGTTCGCCACGCTTCTGTAGCCAACCTTCTTTCACGATGGTGGCGTGCGGACCACCGCCAAGCGGTTCGTATGTGGGCGAGGTGCCGAGTACGGCTGCTGTGCTGCTGCCGGTCGGTGCAGGTGTGCCACTAGCAGCCATTGTGCGACCACTGTTGTTGCTGCTGCTGCTGCCACCACCACTGTTTGGATTGCTCTGAAAGTAAGTACCGGCAGTAGTTGATGTAGACGCAGATGTTGAAATAGAGCGATATTGTTGGAGCTGTTGCTGAGTCTGTGTCTGTTGTTTTTTACTGTAAGATGCGGGTGGCAATGTTGCAACGTTTAGAGTTACTATTGCGGGTTCGGTTGTGGTTGCGTAGGCAGTGTTGTTGCTACTATTACTAAAATTGTTGCTATTGTTGTTGCTAGTACTACCCCCACTATTGCTGCTGTTGCTGCTGAAAGGATTCGAGAAGCTGCCCACAAAGCTCGAACTCAATAAACCAAGCGCCGATGAGGATGAAGAGACACTTGACGACGCAGAGGCAGATCCTGCTGAAGTGGCCAATGCGGTGGTGCTGACGGCCGGCGTTTTGCCACCACTTGTTGCGACTACAGTTGATCGCCGCGACGAGGAAAACGATAGGTAATTCGTGGTGAGGCCTTTTCGTTTAAACACAAATCACAAGAAAAAAAAACTAAAAAGAAAAATGGCTCACAACAACACAAACGTTGTTTAAAACAACAATTTAACGTACGAAAAATTAAACAGAGTTGATACGATACCGTGACGACGTAAAACTAGAAAAACGGATCACCACAGTGGGCGGCAATGGCTGGAAAAAACTTGGAAGCGGGTAGCTTCAGAGTTCTTTGTGCCTTTATTTCTTGTTATCACTGCAGAAGAAAGCAGATTTCCCGCTGACCGATAGACGCGTCGAAAAATGTTATTTCTCCAGTCGCTTGCTTTCTTTCACACACTCTTTGGTTGTTATTGCTGCGTTGATTAAATTGTTGTCTTTCTTTTTATTTACTTTTGCTCGATTATGCTCTTAACTTTCGGACTGCTTCAAAGTCAATATCAAAACACGACGTCACCGACTTTACTTTGTTGGATGCGCGCGCGCTCTTATTCGTTCAGTGCACTTCGGGTTCTGAAATGGAAATGAAGAAGATATATTCAGTTAAAGAGTCAGGCTGTCAAAAGGTAAACAAAAGTAAATTACAAAAGTACAACAACACAAATAGCGACTACAGCAAAGCAGCGAAACACTACCCAATAAACATTGGGCTTTTGGTTAACAATTCGAAAATGATTGGAAAACATTCTTTTTGAGTCTCACCTGCGATAACTAATGTGGAATAAGTTAGTATTCGATTCGAGAACTAGGCCATTCTGCAGCAAAACCCAACCGTCGTTATCCAATGTATTTTTCCTTCGTTAAGAATTCGAATTTTTATGAGAGAGAGAGAGAGAGAGAGAGTGATTTTCTAATATTTCCCTTCGAGAATGAGCTGGATTTCACTTCCTCTCTTGTTGCTAGGTTTTAATTTTTTTCGAGTGTATTTTCCAATATACTATGAACGTTGGAAAACTAAGTTTGGTTATAAGTTCGTTTTTAGTTCGATATGCATATTGGTCATTTTCGAACGTTCGCCAAAATGTTTATAGGGTAGCGTAGTAACGCGCTGACTAGCGACGAGCTGAGCAGAAAATAATGGCATGAATGCAACGAAACTGCATTGACGCACAACGCACGCTGCAGACAGCACGCAATAACAATAACAACAGTCCCTCCCATCAGTGGCAGTAACTGCAGCCACAACTGCAGCGTCACGCATATAAAAGGCAAAGCTACACATACAAAAACAATAAACTAGTACACACACACGGCAAGTGTCGTTAAAGACGTTGAAAAGCGCAACGCGTAAAGTCTAAAATGTCGCAATGATTCATGGCGAAAAAATTCCCCGCCACAGCGCTGTAATGCCCCGCACAGCACCAGTGCCGTCAGCTCCGCCGCCGCCGCCACCGGCCAGCCAGCCATCCAACCATCACTAATACCATCACCAGCGTCACTGTCAGTGTCCGTCAAGTAAGACAAACACAAAACACAAAAAAAAAGTATTGATGAACCATACTCTAGCCACCAGGCAGCCAGCCAGCTAGCTCAGTAGTCATCACCAACCAAATGGCCGCCACCACCAGTCGCCAGCAAAAGTCAAGCAGCCGCCAGCTAAATGCCATCATCGGCCAACCAGCCAGCGAGCCACAAAGCGCCACTGATCGTTGGCGATCGCTGGCGCAATTGCAGCCCGATGCAGCGGTCCCTAACCCCCCACCCCCCATTGTTTTGTTGTTTTTTGTTTATTTTTATATTTCTTATCGCCTTTTTGTAAGCACTAAATGCAACCGCAAAGCGATATCGCCGCCGTCACCAATTTTTACCGTTGCCCCTAAACCCTGGAGCAACAATTCATATTTTCACTGTAAAAGCCGCAAATATTGTTTTGATGAATTTTATATTTATTTTATTTTCTTTTATTTTTTTTTTATTATGTATATTTTTATCGTATTCAAAGAATAAAATAAAAGAAGACAGCAACAAAAACAGCACAACTGATGGTTAGGCGCCTTGGTGCGCTAAATGCGGGCGTGCTGCATTTTTGGATGTAAAAACATTTGAAAGCGTCAGCTATAAGTTGTGCGATAAGCGCATAGGCGTTGGGAGAAATTGAAATTGTAATATTTTTTCATGAGAAATTAAATGTTTAAAAGCAAAAGTTATGAGGAAATGTATGTATGTAAATATGTAGTTCGCAAAAATGGTGTTGTTTCTAAATTGAAAGCGAGAAAAGGATAAAAAATATAGACACAAAATTAAAATGAAAAAGGTATAATATAAAAAATTATAATAAAAAGTAATAATTTGTTCTATAAAAAATTACAATAATACTATAAAAATATATACATATGTATGTACAGTAGTACCTCGATTCTTGCACATAATGAAAACAGGGCTCGGTGCAAGAATTGAGGTTGTCGCAAGTAGCGAGTATTTTGTTTTTTGTATGAAATAAAAGGCAATTTTATGAAAGAATTTGGTTGGAAAATAAGTTTATTATTTTTAATATGTATTTTAACTCAATACGCTTAAGTTTAATTCGTTCATATACATAAATATAGAAAGACTCACATACTTTATGTGAAACTAAAAAAATTTTTGTTTGTTTTGTGCAAGCTCGCTTGTTCAGTACTACGCTGCTTCTAAGTCTCTGGAGCGTCATAATATCGTCTAAAGAGGCATTATTTTGATCAGCCCATTCTAAGCAAATATTGTATGCTGATATAGTCTCCTGCTGTGTAACTTTCTTCGTATTTACTACCACGTTGTTTGTTTCTTCACCATCAGTAAGGTCACAATTGATACAGGGATCTTCATTTTGTTCAAAAGACTCCAAAATAGGTTCAGCAATCCATTGCTCAATTTCAGAATCGGATATTTGCTGCAATGGTTCTATTTCTTGAAGCAAATTTGAAATTGCTTGAATATTGGATGTATCTTCAACAAGCTGTAATGGTAACTCTGAAAGAGGGATCACATCTTCACTATCCCATTCGGATGTTACCTCAAACAGTTTTTGAAATGATGACTGAATGGAGGTCACATTAACAGCATTCCAGGCATTAAGTTGATGTTTCGCAGAGATTCGTCTATTGTTTTTCCACGGCGAACGATGTCACTTAAAAGGCTTGTTTTGAAGTTCAATTTCGTAAGTCTTATAACATTCTGGTCCATGGGCTGTATAAGTGCAGTACAGTTTGGAGGAAGACACATTACAGATATTTGACCATGACTACTCATTAACTCGCCGTCTTTGGGATGGCATGGAGCATTATCAATAAGCAATAGAGCCTTTTCGGGAAGATTTTGGGCACGAAGGAACCCTTTTACCTGCAATTTTAGGAAATTTAAATTAATAAACGAAATTGTTTACAAACAAAGATGACCAGATGTACCTCAGGAACAAATGTTTTGTGAAACCATTCCTCAAACAAAGCCAAGGTCATCCAAGCACTTTTATTTCCTTTGTAGACAACTGGAATATCCGTAAAATTGTTAAGTGATCGTGGGTTTAATGATTTCCCAATAACCATTAGTTTTACTCTGTGATTTCCAGAAGCATTCGTGCAAGCCAGAAAAGTTATTCTTTCCTTACTGATTTTATGTCCTGGAGCGGAAGTTTCTTTTGACCGCACAAGAGTTCTATCAGGCAAAAGCTTCCAAAAGAGACCAGATTCATCGGCATTGTATATCTGGTCCTTGGTCAAACCTAAATCAGCAATTTTTTTGTTCAGTTTTTGTAAAAATGGATTAACTGAATGAGTCTTATTCGAAAGTTTTTCTCCACATATTTTGAGTCTTCGTATTCAATATCTTTTTTTAAAGTTTGTAATCCAACCATTGCTAGCATGGAAGTCCCCCGATTTTTCCTGAATTTTGGCATGGAGAAACTTGGCCTTTGTTTAAGCATATCAGAAGTGATTGGTAAATTCTTGGCTCGTTGATTTGCAAACCATTTCATCAATGCTCTTTCCATTTTAGGAAGCTCTGCAGGTTTAAACGTTTTTCTCTTCCCAGGACCAGATTCAGCATGCGCCAGGAACCTCCTTATGGTGTTCTTCTTATTCTTAATGCGGTTTATTGTTGACCTGTGCACGTGAAAACTTTTGGCTAAGGCATCGATAGAAAATCCTTCACTTAGCTTCCTTAAAATTTCAGCTTTTTGCTTTATTGTAAGCAACGTAAATTTTTTCCCTGCCATTGTGAGACCGCACTCAATGAAACGTCCGTTAAAACTGATTCAAATGTCCCAAAATACACGTGCGTAAAGAGCGAAATACACCACACAAGCGGTTTGACAAACCAAGCGAAATTTCCCTTTGCTTCAAGCCATTTGTGCTGTGTATGGGGGTGTTTGAAGGTTTGACAAACCGCCGTCAAACCTTCAAACACCCCCATACACAGCACAAATGGCTTGAAGCAAAGGGAAATTTCGCTTGGTTTGTCAAACCGCTTGTGTGGTGTATTTCGCTCTTAAGAGAATTAGCCAATCACAGCAATTCATTTCCGAAATAAATCGGGACTTCCCCGAATTTTATTGAATCTAAGGAACCGTTACCAAAAGCAACAAGGCAATGTCGCAAGTATCGAGCTCAAATTTTTTGGATGTCGCAAGTACTGAGTACGTAATGGAAAAATTTTTTATGTTGCAAGAATCCAGGTGTGCAAGTACCGAGTATGTGCAAGAATCGAGGTACTACTGTATGTAGTGTTAAAAATGTAGTACAAAAAATAAAATAAAAATTGTATTAAATAAAAATATACAAAACAATAAAACGAAAGTGTACACCTTGTTCTAATGTAATATTCACAAATATTATCATGGATAATTTCTTGCATGAGTTAAATATTTATGAAAATATAGTTCATTCTATAATACAGGGGTGGTCAAGGCCGAGGCCGCGAAGAGACACATGTAAATTCTAAATGCTGCAAAGAGCCACAAAAAAAAATAACAGAAACAGAAATTTTAAAAATTCCAATTCATCCTCTTTGACATGTGCAATATTTTTTCTAGCCATGGAAAACGATGAAATCTTCTTTGTTTGAGATCATGTATAAAAAGATGTAGTTTAGCTTCCAAAACTTAAAATAATTGTCATTCTTTCCTGTAGACACAAATTCAACTTTTGCAAATGTTCCATCATATCGGTTAAGAATAATAAGTCAGAAAGCCAATTTTCATTCTCCAATTGGGGGTAATGTTCCGATCTCAAATTGCGTATGTGTATATAAAAAGAATAAAATAAAATAAAATAAAAACAACACTATGGAAAAGAATGTCCAGCAAAGGAATACATATGTATTTTAAAAAGTAAAGAGCCAAAATGCTGTAAGCAAAGAGAAAGTATGAAGGAGCCGCATTTTGCTAAGCAAAGGGCCGCATTTGGCTCAGAGAGCCGCGTTTGCCCACCGTTGCCATAATATAAACCATATGAATCAAAGTTTACACTTCTAGAAAAGTTTCGAGTATGGAGTTTTCAACTTCTCTTATTCACTCCTTTTTTGTTGGTTAATTTTGTTTTTGATATAATTTTTTGCTTTCTTATATGTTTTATGTTTTTATATATATATTTTTTTTTAAATTTTATGTTTATATATATATATATATTTTTTTTTAATTTTGTTATTTACACATACCTACATACATATATTTATAGGTACTTATATGTATGTATGTATGTACTTAATTTTTTTGTTTTTTATACATTTTATTTTGTTTTTATATTTTATTTTTGGTTTTTTATACATTTTGTGCTTTTTATATATTTTATGTTGTTATATATACAGTGAAACCTCTCCTAACGGACACCTCTATTAGACGGACATCTCCCTTGGGCGGACATTTTTTCCTATACCAAGTTTTAAGTATAAATTTCGGAACAAATTGCTCTCTCTTAAGCGGACACTCTCTTGGCCGGACGCGGACAGTTATTTTGCATAAAATTGACACAAAAACTCTATTGGGCGGACGCGAACCTCTTATCAACGGACATTAAGATTTCTTTTCATAACAAATCAAACAAAAACCTCCGTTGAGCGGACGCGAACTCCTCATAGGCGGACTACTAAATGGAAAAAGGGGACTTCCCGCACAAAATGTGATTGTTATGCACACATTTAGTTTGGTTTGCGCAGTGGTTTAGGTTCGTTATTTGAATTGTCAGAAACCCTTGGAGACTGATAAAAACATGAAAACTATTGATGAAAAAGGTACTGACACTGAAAAAAATTAAAAATAAAACTTACGTCAATCGACAATTTCCCAGTTTTTTATGTAATGAATCTATGGTTTTATGTAGTTTATGGACTAAAATGTAATATTAATTTTTATTTTGTTATTACTTAATATTTACTANTAATGAATCTATGGTTTTATGTAGTTTATGGACTAAAATGTAATATTTATTTTTATTTTGTTATTACTTAATATTTACTACCGCACATAAATGAAATGTGCATTTTTGAAAAAATACATGCACATTTTTGTTTGAACGATGTAATATCAATATCTTTTATTCAAATAAGAAATAGTGGCTATTCAATTAATTAAAACGTTAAAAAATTATAAAACAGGCTTCCCCTCCATTAAGCGGACACCTCTCTTGGGCGGACAAAAAATGACTGACGGTGAGTGTCCGCCCAAGGGAGGTTTCACTGTATATTTAATTTTTATAAATTTTATAACCATTTTTAATATTTCTTATATATTTTTTTTTAATTGAATATTTAATATTTTATATTATTATTTACTTATCTAACTTAAAAAAATTTTAATTTGATTTAATTTTCTATTGTTGATTTTTTTTTTAATTTTCTAATAATTTTTTACTTACTTTTCCGAAAGTTTCTTAGATTCACGAAAAATTCCCAAAAACTCCCGGGAAAAATCCGTATCCACCAAATACCAAAAGATCACAAAAAAAATAAATACGAATAATCTTAAAAAAACCTGAACGGTTCTGGAAAAATCCCAAAAAAATAAGCCAAACTTTGCCAGTTAATTTAGCCTTGAAAAATTCAAATCAAAACTAATCTTTTTTTTTTTAAATAATAATACTAAAATTTTTAAGTCACGAAGAAATTATGTTCTAAATAAGAGCGAGGATAATGGCATCTTCGAAAAGCAGTGCAACAATTCGTTATGCAGCAAGTCTTTCCAGCACACTCCCTTCATCTGCCACCGCCAACGATTGAGTACCACTAAAATACTTTCAGGGCAAGAGCGACTGAAACGATTCGAACAACATGAGAGGCGATGAAATCAGATGGGATAATATAAGAGATGAAGCACAGATCTGAATAACCGTGCTAGCAGTTACAAGGACCAGCCAGGATTGGGCTCACGACGCTAAACCAACACGGAAACATTGCATTGGGCCTCGGCAACAGAATATTATGTGTTAAGATATAATCATTGGGAAGATTTAGTAGAGACTACACTTTATGAAACCCCCCAAAGCCTGCCAAAAAGGCATTTAACTCTAGTCCCAGGACAAGATCGGTCGCATCTAGAAACTGATTACGAGGATAATTGAGATTAGAAGAGTAGAGCGCAGGGAAGTTCTACTATGCAATACCACGGAGAAAATATTTGCATATAGTTTATATAAATATAAGCAAGTAATCTAAATTCTCTAGATCCGCTTCCAAATGATCGAGACTGCAAAAGTTAGGGGAACAAAGGTCTGTCGCTCAATTAAAAAAAAAAAAAACAATAATAATAACAGTAATATGCACTTTCATCTCAAGTATGTATGTACAAGAAAATTGACGTCAAAAAAAAAAATTAGCTTCACAGCCATTCAAAGTTATCGAAAGTCTATTTCACGAACATCTCGATGACGCGTTATAAAACAAGTGCATCTGTACTTGCAGCATATGTGCATACATATGTAAAACTAAGCTGCCTATAAACCAATTAACCCTTTCATTCCGCTATTCTTGCTAATTTCTTCCGCATGGAATTTATTAGCTTAACTAAATTCACGTTAAAGGCCTGTATGCAGTTCTCAAGAAAAGCTAAAATTCCATACAAAATGACGTACAAGAAATGGCTAAGAAATTTTCTTAAGTCAAATTTCCTTCAGGCAGTACGCAGTTCTTAAGAAATTTGCTACGCTTTTTACTACGGTTTTCTAAAGTTTTTTGTGAAAAAAGAGCAAAAGGCAACCCAGGTATGCAACAGAAATATATGCCCGTTCCATTATTTCTTGAGGAAAGAGTGAGGCAACAGGCTGTGAAGTATCAAAAATGTCAAAATTCCTTGGACACACACACGAAATAATGGCAAATTTTTCTTGACGGATTTCTTGAGAGCTGCATACCAGCCTTAAGGCGTAAATATTTCACACTACAAATGCAAACACATGCACATCCCTGCATGCATATGTACATTTTCTACACATGGATATGCAAATAGCGTATTTTCCATTACCTCAATTGTTTGCTGATATTCTTATTACAAAGCGGAAAATGACGCCACCGACCTTTGTAAATCATCAAATAAAAGTGAAATGTTGCAATTCGTTAAGTAAATTATCAGTATGCATTACNCTTAAGGCGTAAATATTTCACACTACAAATGCAAACACATGCACATCCCTGCATGCATATGTACATTTTCTACACATGGATATGCAAATAGCGTATTTTCCATTACCTCAATTGTTTGCTGATATTCTTATTACAAAGCGGAAAATGACGCCACCGACCTTTGCAAATCATCAAATAAAAGTGAAATGTTGCAATTCGTTAAGTAAATTATCAGTATGCATTACGCAAACAGATTTTTACAGATTTACAAATTGCTATTTAGTCGCAGAAATATGTACGTCAAACCACAGAAAGATGAAGACATAAAGTTTCAAGTAAAGTCATTAAATTTTTGATAAACGTAATTGGATTTTCTAGTACGTATTTGGTAACGTTTTTTTTTTTTAATTTTGTATTTCGATAGTCAAGGGCAGGGACCTA